CACGCACGTCCGTTCACATACACCGGACTAGACTACTTCGGGCCAATAGAAGTCACAGTGGGACGACATCGCGAAAAGCGCTATGGCGCGTTATTTACCTGCATGACGTCGCGAGCAATACACATAGAAGTAGCCCACTCGTTGAGCGCAGACTCAGCCGTGTCGGCACTTAGGCGTTTTATGAGCAGAAGAGGATGCTCAAAAGAAATATGGAGTGACAACGCTACGTGCTTCAAGGCAGCAGACAAGGAGATGGCCGAAGCAGCACTTGCAGCCCTCGAGCACGAAACCACGTGTCAACAGATTGTGTGGAAGTACATACCGCCATCAGCACCGTTCATGGGCGGCGTATGGGAGCGAATGGTTCGCTCCGTAAAAGAAGCCCTACGCGTCACCCTCAACGAGCGCTATCCCAGCGACGAAACATTGGGGACCCTGCTCGCCGAGGTCGAAAATACTGTAAACTCCAGACCTCTCACACACGTCTCAGTCGACCCAGGAGACCCTGAAGCCATCACGCCGAATCACATCCTCATCGGTCCCAACTCGCACGTACCTGGGCCGGGACACTTCAGCAAGAATGACGTGACGGCCCGCCAGCAATGGAAACGAGCTCAAGCCCTAGCCGACGTGTTTTGGAGAAGATGGGTTAAAGAATACCTGCCCCTACTCCAACACCGGCGGGAGCCCAGCAGCATAGGAGTATCGCCGAAGATTGGAGACCTAGTCATCATTTGTGACTCCAATCTACCACGCAACACCTGGCCCAGAGGGAAAATAAGTAAGGTATATCCTGGCGTCGACGGAGAGGTACGAGTAGTGGACGTAACCACCGGCAGTGGGCACATACTAAGAAGACCAACGAAGAAGATCGTCGTGCTACCAGAGGGATCGCAGCGTGGCGACGGCGGGAGAATGTGCACGACGCAACAATATTAAACAAACGAAAGAAAATGCTTATTGTAACCGGCGCTAGTTGAACAACCTAGGAGCGGTGGGCGGAGCCATGACGACGGTGTAATTATCAGGCCACGCCTCTGGTTCGACAACTAGCAAGGGTTATACGGCGGAACTAGCGCAACCTTATGTTGAATTTAAATTATAATTTGTGTAAATAATTGTATTACTTGTATCGAACGATAAAAAATAATGATTGTATTATAACTAAGTTTAAGGTTGAGTTGTAACTGTGCAATAACTCTCCCAAATAAAGGCACCGTATGAACAGGGAGAGTTAGCATAGTCTTCTAATGAAAACTATAATTGTTAAATATAATAAATGTTTACTTTATTATATAATAAATATATTAGGCCGTTAGGCACATAAAAAAAATAGTAGTAGAGCATGTTATCGTGACGCGGCCGCGGAGCAAATGAAGCCACGCGCACCGCGCCACGACGTTTTATATTTATAGTGCTGAGGCGGGGGGAAGGATTCTCCGCCTAAAGCAGCTGAAAATTATAATGTAAACCTGTAAATAAGTAAAAATATTGATATGTACACCCTAGTCTAACAAGTAGTTATAAGAATATTATATAGTGAATTATGTTTATTAGTTTGTAAGGTTATTAAATAAATAAAGATAGGCGCGGGGGTGAGGCAAGGGTCCGCTGGCCAGCAGCGGCCAAATCATATAAAAGACGGGCCGGCCGCTAGGGTCAGCAGTCGCTCTCCAGCCACCGAAAAGGCACCAGCAAGAAAAGAAAAAGTACAAGTTCCTCCTCACCGCCGCTTGCCTCCAGTTAAAAGCAAGACCAGCGCGTTTTATTCCATTTTTCGCACGGCATTACGGCGATCCGTAATACCAATTGTAATTGAAAGATTTTTATAGTATAAATTGGAAAACTTATATCGCAACAGGTACGGCCAATTCTTAAAATAGCAATGAAAATAATTCAAGATGACAAATAAAAAAAACACGATCATAACCCATGCCAGAGTGACTTTAACATAATATTATGTTGTAAGGCATCACAAGATAGCACACCTTTCTTGTTGTATTATTAAATAATGCTTATGTTACAAGTTCATCAAGTCATGCTCATGAAATATGAAATTGTTGGTAAACTATATTTAAGGGAATTTCACTTTGGATGTGGGAAATACCTTTTAAACTCTCCGGACTTGGATATCGCTCCGAGACCGAGAGCGGAGAGATCGCGTCAGTGTAGCGCCGTGCGTCGGGAGGGTTGGTTGCTTTCGACCTTCGTAAAGTTACGTCGCGACAAAACTTCGGTCGGCGTAAACTTTGAAGGTGAAGTGATGTGAGGGTCGCTCGTGGATTGGTGTACTTAATAGTGGCTTGGTATTGTGCAGTGAGGTAGAGCCATGTGAATGTTGTTGTCACGGCGTGAGTGAGTGTTAGGGGTGTTAAGGTTGCTATCTAATATATAGAAAAATAATGTTTTTATACGATGCAGGAAATTTAAGTAAACTTAGCGAAAACAAAAAACTCTTCGCAAATGCGGAAATCTAACACATTTTTTTCCACGCATAAATCAAATGTCTAATTTTCTATCAAGATCTATATGCTATGCTATTTTAAAAATTTTAAGTGTTTTAGTGTTAATAGGGTTACGAGCGCTATCAAACAAGAGAAACCTTAAATTGTGTTATATTTGACTGTTATAACATGATATACGCTGTGTACATATAACATAACAAGCTTAATGGTTAAAACAGTAATTAAACCCGACTGCGTAAAAACAACAAAAAGAAAAAATGTCACTCCCACAATTAATAAGAATTTAACGACACCTCGTTTAGGCTACAGAGCATGATAAAAATAGACGCAAATAAAAAATTGTGAATTATGAATTAGACGACATATTACATACATACTCTCGAATAACATTACTCTATTTCTGGGGCAGTAGGGTATAAAGAAAAGAAAATAAACATAAAAATGTTATATACAGTGTTCCATTCTGAACAATAATATTATGAGAAAATGTTTCAAATAAAAATGTAAGCAGACTTGCAAAACACACGAACAAAAGAGTTTTGCAAAATATTTTTCGTCTTATAGCATCGCGTGTGGTACTGGTACTCCATGTTAAATATAATATGACAAGAGAACATTTTCAACACTTATTTAAATTTTTTCTAAATGTTGGTACACATCTATACAAATAAATAAAATTGAAGTGTCTGTTTGTAATGTCAAATCATCAGCTTTTTACTAAATGCATATGAAAGTATATACGGTACTTATAACAAAAATACAATTTTTAAAGTTTCTGTCTGTCTGTCTGTCTATCTGTTTATTCCGGATAATCTCCGAAACGGCTCGACCGATTTCGACTGGATTTTCACTGGTAGATAGCTGAAGTTATAAGGAGTAATTTAGGCTACTTATATTTTATAAAAAGAATTAGGGTTCCACTAAACATAATTAAAACCCTAAATTACACGCGGGCGAAGTCGCGGGGAACAGCTTTATAAATATAATCTTACGGCTTTATTCATAAAAAAAAAAACAAAAATAATGCAATAAATCTAGCGGAAAAGACAAAAAATAATTTCTAATTAGTAAAATGGCCACTGGATTATACGGACAGTTTCTCATGTAGAATTACACCGAGCAGAAACTCAAAAACCACAAACATAGTGAGGCAATTACAAATTAACACTCACTGTCTGGTTTTAAGACACAATAGTAAGTCAAAAGCAATAGCCTATATGTAGTGCACGGGGCAGCGAAAGGGTTAATTAAATTTAAACTAATTTTATAATAATATTTTTTATAGAATCAGGGTGACAAACGAGCACACAGTCCACCTGATGGTAAGTAGTTGCTAATGCTTATACACACCTACATCTATCTTCGTTTGTGAATTAAAGTGCAGATGCGTTGTCAGCCGTGAGGACTAAGGTAGAATGTCTCTTTTCCAGTAATAAAATGAGTCTCCGGTTCTCTGCATTCACCATACGAAACACAGCAGCATTAAGCTGCTATTTTACGCTGGTATTCTGTGAGAGCGTGGTCCTTCCCCGGTCGAGTTGACCCATTCGTGCTACAACTATACTATTAATATAGCTGCAGCATGGCTCTACCACATGTCAAAAAACGCGACAAATAAAACTTCAATTGCTAAAAAGTTATAAATTTAATAGAAAGGCTTATGTATTACACTATAATATTGATTAATATCATAGTTCGTAAACATCAAGATCTCTAATTCCACTATAGATCATGATAAGTGAAATAAAACGTTATAATTTCTTGTAAATACCATTCAGTTCATACTTATTGGTGTTCCGTGTTTATATACCGCTAATACAAATACTTATTCAGTGCTTGACCTTCACGACACTTTAGTTTTAATAAAATCGTCTTAGATTAGCGATTGTAATCCCCCGGTGTAATAAAATAGATTCGCTGAGAGTCTAATGCGACTCGAATGTACCACATTCGTTATGAATTCTGCTCAATGCGTCGTTCCGTTTCATTTCGTTGACATCGTAAATTCTTACTTAATGGTAAACTACCTTATTAATTTGTCGATATGATATAACAACTGCTAATTGCACAATTTAATATCAACTCTGAAAACTTCTATGAAAATCTAAATTAATAACTTAGAATAATTAATAAAAAAATAGCAATTGAGACTTGATAAATTTGGTCACTCTATAGATGAAAATTGTTTCGGGGATTTGTATGAATTTATTTTTTATTTAAGTAAACTGAACAATTAATAAAAACAAACCTTAATCTAAAAGTAACTGGGAAAAACCTTGTTGAATAACATACCAACTAATTAGGGTAAATTTCGTTAAAATATGTTATCATAAATTATTTAAAACAATCAGTAACTTTTCCGTATCATCGTAATGTAAGTTGTACGATATAATGAAGCACGGTGAGTGTTGAGTGGTGAGCAGTAAGCAGTGAGCAGTGAGCAGTGAGCAGTGAGCAGTGAGCAGTGAGCAGTGAGCAGTGAGCAGTGAGAAGTGAGCGGTGAGTAGTGAACGGTGATGGTCGCGGTGCGATGCGATGCGCGCGCGGCTGGTGCTGAACGGGCTGACGGCGGAGCTGGGCGCGGCGCGCGCCGGCCCGCCCGCCTCGCCCGAGCCCTACCACGAGCTGGAGCTGTACCGCCAGCTGCTGGCGCTGCCGAGCCGCGCGCGCACGCCCGACCCCGAGCCTCCACCACGCGGTACTTCTACTCATCCTTTTTTATCTTTATTTCTGTTAAATTGAATTCCGTTAAAGTTACAGTCTGTTAAACTCCACTGCTAAACATAGGCCTTCCCATAGATGGCCACACACATTTCACATTTACTATAGTTGCTACGCTTGGCAAGCGGATTGGCAACCTCTGTTTTTATATTTTTAGTCATTATTAAGAAGACTATGCTGCCCTTGTTCTGTTTTGTTTCTCTCTGTCGCCTCTTACGACATCACGGCATGATATAAGTTAGTAGATATTCGTACTCCGCCACTTCCCGTTCAGATTCCACTTGATGTTATATCACTTCCGCAGCTCATAGAGTCCTGCAACCAACTTCAAACAAAGAAGGTTTTCATAGTTGGTAGGACTCGTTTTCTGCCCAAGAGTCTGGGCAGGTGCCACCCTCTTACCTATTTCTGCTGCCAAATAGAAGTGCTTGCACTGCTTTGGTCCGATGTAAAGCGTACAGAGAGCTAGTACACGTTGGCTGCAGGTGGCTATGCACTATGGACTGAAGTAGATATCTGATGGTAAGTGGATGATGTTTCCATAGACAACTTCATCTATCCTCCATTGTGTTTCAAATTTAGATACGTTATAAAAAAGGTCTTCGGCTTTCTACACTCACCATACAAACACAACATCAATAAATTAAAGCACGAATGTATTGTGTGACAGTGTGGTTTTCTTTCGGTTTTCTTTACCCAGTCAAGCCGACCTATTCGTATAACAATAAAGAAATATAATATAAGCTGCAGTATGGCTCTACCACGTACAAATATGTACATATAATTATTTAATGAGAAGGATTTATTGGGAAACTAGTACTTCTAAAAAATTAAGGAAATACTTCGAGGACTTGTCAACAGTCAACACGCATTTGGACAGCGTGGCAGATTGTTACTCTGCTTTTTTGAGACATGCAGGTTTCATTGTTTCCTTCACCGACGGGCACCTCGTTGAATAGCAAAAAAAATACGAATAACAGGGATATAGTCAAAGCGTTGTCACCCCTGAAGGCTATGATGAAAGTCTCGTTATCAGCAAAAAAACGTCTCTGATTCATTCCCTTCACCATACTAAATATACCACCATTATGCTACTATTTTACGTAGTTATTACGTGCGAGCGTGGTCTTCTCCCGTTTGACCCGAGCCATTCGTGCTGCAGCCATACTGCAGTGTGGTTCTACCGCTTTGTAAATTATTAAGCCTATGCTTATGTCTGTAAACTGTTGTGAATTGCTTACACAGTGTATATGTAAAACACTCATCATCATCATCATTACAGCCCTTCACAAGTCCACTGCTGAACATAGGCCTCCCCCAAAGAATGCCACAAAACACGGTCCTGAGCCACCTGCATCCATCGACTTCCTGCATGTCTTACCAGGTCGTCACTCCATCTCGTGGGGGGACGCCCTACACTTCGCCTACCGGTACGAGGCTGCCACTCGAGAACCTTTCTTCCCCATCGGTTGTCGGTTCTTCGAGCTATATGGCCGGCCCACTGCCACTTCAGCTTACTAATCCGTTGGGCTATGTCGGTCACTCTGGTTCTACTGCGGATATCCTCATTCCTAAGTTTATCACGCAGAGAAACTCCGAGCATAGCCCTCTCCATAGCTCGCTGAGCGACCTTGAGCTTCCTCATACGGCCAGCAGTGAAGGACCACGTCTCAGTTCCGTAAGTCATCACTGGCAACACGCACTGGTTGTACAATTTCGTTTTAAGGTTTTGAGGTATGTCTGACGAGAAGATGTGTCGTAGCTTCCCGAACGCTGCCCAGCCGAGTTGAATCCGTCGATTGACCTCTCGGTCGAAGTTGGACTTACCCAGTCGGACTATTTGTCCTAGGTAAACATATTCGTCAACAACTTCGAGCTTAGTGTTCCCAACAACTACCGACATAGGTGTGACATGGACATTAAACATGATCTTAGTTTTGTCCATGTTCATCTTAAGACCTATCCGTTGGGAAACACTATTGAGGTCATTGAGCATAGTGCTTAGGTCCTCCAGCGATTCTGCCATAAGGACTATATCGTCGGCAAATCGAAGGTGAGTGATGTACTCGCCATTGATGTTGATACCGTATCCTTTCCATTCCAGAAGCTTGAAAACGTCTTCCAATGCAGCGGTGAAGAGTTTCGGGGATATGACGTCACCCTGTCTTACACCTCTCTGCAATTGGATAGGTTTCGTACTCTGGTTCTGTACTCGGATAGCCATCGTAGCCCTACTGTACAAGCACTTCAACACTTCGATATACCGACAGTCAACTTGGCACCGCTGAAGGGACTGCAGCACCGCCCAAATTTCGACGGAATCAAAGGCTTTCTCATAGTCCACATACGCCAGACATAGTGGCAAATTGTACTCTTCAGACTTCTGTACAACTTGCCGAAGGGTATGTATGTGGTCTATGGTGCTAAAGCCCTTTCGGAAACCGGCTTGTTCGGGAGGCTGGAAGTCGTCAAGTCTGCGCGCGAGACGATTCGTAATGACTCTCGAAAACAGCACGTAGACGCGGCTCAGAAGGGAAATCGGTCTGTAGTTCTTCAAGAGAGCGTTGTCACCTTTCTTGAAGAACAAGACCACCGCACTTCTGCTCCACGCCTCCGGTGTAATGCCACCATGGAGGACGGAATTAAAGAGCTTCTGAAGGACTTCAAGTACCGGTCTTCCACCCGCTATCAGAAGCTCCGCTGTAATTCCATCCTCGCCTGGGGCCTTACCCTTTTTAAGGTGCTGGAGAGCCATCCTAATCTCGCTCAGACTGACATCCGGGATATCTTCGGAATAGTGTCGGATGAGACTCGCTCTTGGATCGTTACTCACACTTGCGTGTGGCTCCAACGATGATGTGTACAGCTGCCCATAGAACCTCTCAATCTCACTCAAAATCTCAGGTGTCCCGGAAACGATGCTGCCACATTCTGTCTTCAGCTTTGACAGTTGGCTCTTTCTGGCAGACAGATCTCTGGCAAAGACTTTGGAGCCTTGGTTCCGCTCGATCGCTTCTTCAATACGAGCTGTATTGAAGTTGCGTAAGTCCCGCCGCATGCATTTGGAGATCTGTCTGTTCAGATGCCTGTATGCTGTCAAGTCTGTTGAAGAATGTAGCTTCATCTCCCGTCTAACAGCCATGAGATTAAGAGTGTGATCGTAGAGTTTTTGTGTTCTTCTGCGGCGGGTCTTGCAGAACTTAGCTTCAACCGCATGGACAGTTTCCACGAGCTTGTCATTCATATCGTCCACTTCATTGCAGTCTTCCAGGCACTTAAAACGGTTTTGTAACTCGAGCTGAAAGGTTTCGGGACTTTGGAACAGAGCACGAGGGGGACGGAGCGTTGACTTCATTAGACGAGACCTCTCCAACTTAACGTTTAGGTTCAGTGTGCCTCTAACCATTCGGTGATCGCTACCAGTTTTCACCCTCGCGATCACGGAGACATCACTGAACAGTTGTCGTCTGGTCGTCATAATGAAGTCAATCTAATTTTTTGTGGAACCGTCGGGGCTCGACCAGGTCCACTTCCTGTGGGGCCGCTTCTGGAAGAAAGATTTCATCATAAAGAAACCCTCTTTCTCCTTGAAGTCGGCCAGCTGCTGGCCCCTTGGGTTCCGTTGCCCTATTCCAAATTTCCCTACTTTCAGCTCACCGTTCTCTCTTGTGCCTAGTTTTGCATTGAAGTCTCCCATTAACACCGTATATTGGGTTTTGGAGGAATGCATGGCTCTAGAGATATCCTCATACATTTCCTCCACCTCCTCATCGGGGTGTGCCGAGGTTGGTGCGTAAACCTGTATGACCTTCAGCGAATACCGTTTGGTGATTCTGAGTATAAGGTACGCAACCCTCGTCGACACACTCCCGATTTTTACAACGTTGTTAACGAGAGACTTGTGGACGATAAATCCGACACCTCCTTGGGACAGATGGTCGCCCTCCCGGTGATAGAGCAAGTTGCCGGATTCGAGGATTACCGTGTCCTCCCCCTCTCTTCGGACTTCGGATAATCCTATAATATGCCAGCGCAACTTGTCTATCTCTTCTTCCAGCTCCACGATCTTCTCGTCAGTCCTCAGGGTGCGTGCGTTGTACGTTGCCAGGTCGAGTCGTCTAAGGTGGCAACCGAACCTCCACCGGAGATTCTTAGCACTCCCTGCCCCGCCGTTACCATGGTCGCCACCGTAGCCAGGAATAGCGGGGCCGCCGGGGACTGGGGGCCGTTTTTTTGTTGCTCTCATCATTGGGGGGTATTTGCCATAGTTGCCACGCTTGGCGAGCGGGTTGGCAACCGCAGTTTTTTTATTGTAATTTGGCTATTATCAGGAAGATGCTGCTGCCCATCTCCTGGCTGTTTCCCTTTGTCGCCTTTTACGACACCCACGGGAGGATATGGGGTAGTGGATATTCTTGACCGCCACTACACGGCATGTAAAACACTGGATGGAGATAAACCTAAAGTTCTGCCAGCGATAAACCATTGCTTACTGTAGTTTATAAGATTTTATATTTATTTACTAACACTATGTTATGAATTATTAAATCAAAGGTATTATTATTATTATCATTTAGATTTTTTCTTTTTAAAAATAAATGAATAAGGTAATAAGCTAAACAATGTATGTGACAGAGGAGCCGGCGCGGCGGTGCCGCACACCCGCGCCGGCGCGCGCCCGCCCCGCAGCACGCGCCGCCGCACGCCCCGCTAAGGTGAGCACAGCAGCTGCTGGTACACACTGCAGCCTCGCAACCACAAGCAGTACTGACGGATTGCCTAATTGAATGTAAAAACCTATGAGTAGCCTGTATTTTCTTTTTACTCCGAATTGTTTTTAAAGGAGTAATAACAATGAAAAGTAATTATATACGGAATATAAGCCATGTTCGAGAATGACCGCTCCAGGCTCTACTGGACCGCACCATCATTATAGACAGGACTATTATTGCAAAGAAACCAGATATTATGCTGTGGACCGGGCACAGTCAAGAGTATTTTTGGTTGATATTACCATTCCAAACAGATGAGGGAACAAAGTGATACTCTGTAAGTGACAGCTCCGGGTGCAAATGCAGAAATCGATGCTCCTCTATACCGCTCGCAACTTCCTACGATTTCTTTACTGCCAGGGACCCCCATTTTTTATAGGATGGCGTGACAAACAAACTCTCAGTCTACCTGATGGTAAGTTGTTGCTGTGACCTGTAGATATCTACATTTATCCTCAATAAAGATTAAAAATGCAGATGCTTTGTCAGCCGTGAGGACTAAAATGGAATGCCTCTTTTTCAGTAAAAAGGGTCTCCGGCTTTCTACATTCACCATACGAAAGACAGCAGTGTTAAGCTACTATTTTACGCTAGCATTATGTGAGATCGTGATCCTTTCCCGGTCGATCCGACCCATTTGTGCTACAACTATACTACTAATATAGCTGCAGCATGGCTCTAGCATGTAGTTTTCCCATCTGTTTGGGTTTTTGTTTACTTATGTATTATTTATTTTACTATGTTCAATGTATCTTTATGAATATTTATCATTTTTTTATATAATTATTAAGATCAAATAGATGAGAATACTGTATAAATACCCCAATCAAAATGATGTCTTCTAGACCGAATTTCTGTCACGGCATTCAGTCTCAACGAAGACTTGCCATCTGCGCAGGATAGGATTGTAGCGCCCGAGTATAATCGCAAGAACAAGTGCACTCTCTATTCCATCACTCTCATAGTCCGACGGGACGGTAACCAATACGACCGGAAAAGATCAGGCGCAGGACCTACGACTTTACGTACTTTTTGAGGCACAGGAATGAAACACCGCCAAGTTCTTGACTCCTGGCTGCTACTGAGAATCTATTGACAGAAAAAGCCAATTTCTGATTTTGACCCAACCCGGTATTTGAACCCGGGATCTCATGACCAGCAACCGCATTTAAAAGGCAGTCGTATTGAAAATGGAGCATAAAGGAGTTAAAGTAACAATGGGGAATACGAAAATGAAACCTCAGGAATTTAAACTAAGGATCGTTCGTGCACCACCCCACCCAACTCTAAAGGAGACACTTAAAAAGTTTAATAATAACTATTACAAATTTTCTTAAAGTTTGACTTAAAGGTACTCTAGTTTTAATGCAATGCGGAGATTTATTAATTTAATTAAAAATTCTTCTTGCTCTCTTTATGTTAAAAAATTTAACTTGTATTCATTGTTCTAAACCGTTTTACTTATCCAGAACGTCAGGGAGCTTCCTTCGTTTTAGACCATAAGCGCTTTTCAAATTTTTAAAATAATAATGCAAGAGTTTCAGCGTTACGATGTCTCCCAAAAAAAGCTAACAAATTCTAGTTCTACGCTCAGTGTCATAACCAAGTTAATTTTAAAATAAGGAAATATTATAAATATGTATATTATTAAGCAGTTCTCTCATTCAAATATATTTAAAAAGATTTTTTTCCCCAACAAAACGAAAATGCCGTTAAGTGTCTGTCGTACATTTTCAGTACGCGGGTGATTTGGACTCGACGTCTCACTCTCACTCTTAACTTTATCCCACACAGTTCTCAAGTCTGAATCTGTCATGTACCATTATATCAATTACAGCCGATAAAAGTCCACTGCTGGAAATAAGACTCTCCCATAGATTGTCCCACAAGAAGACTTTTACCATAGTTGCCACGCTTGACAGGCGGCAACTATGATATATTTATTACTCTGTATATTTTTATTACTTTAAATTGTTTGATTGGAGGGCCTAAGCACTATGCTCAATGACCTTAATAGTGTTTCCCAACGGATAGGTCTTAAGATGAACATGGACAAAACAAAGATTATGTTTAATGTCCATGTCACACCTATCCCGGTAGTTGTTGGGAGCACTAAGCTCGAAGTTGTTGACGAGTATGTTTACCTGGGACAAATAGTCCGACTAGGTAAGTCCAACTTCGACCGAGAGGTCAATCGACGGATTCAACTCGGCTGGGCAGCGTTCGGGAAGCTACGACACATCTTCTCGTCAGACATACCTCAAAACCTTAAAACGAAATTGTACAACCAGTGCGTGTTGCCAGTGATGACTTACGGAACTGAGACGTGGTCCTTCACTGCTGGCCGTATGAGGAAGCTCAAGGTCGCTCAGCGAGCTATGGAGAGGGCTATGCTCGGAGTTTCTCTGCGTGATAAACTTAGGAATGAGGATATCCGCAGTAGAACCAGAATAACCGACATAGCCCAACGAATTAGTAAGCTGAAGTGGCAGTGGGCCGGCCATATAGCTCGAAGAACCGACAACCGATGGGGAAGAAAGGTTCTCGAGTGGCAGCCTCGTACCGGTAGGCGAAGTGTAGGGCGTCCCCCCACGAGATGGAGTGACGACCTGGTAAGACATGCAGGAAGTCGATGGATGCAGGTGGCTCAGGACCGTGCTTTGTGGCATTCTTTGGGGGAGGCCTATGTTCAGCAGTGGACTTGTGAAGGGCTGTAATGATGATGATGATGATGAAATTGTTATCAGGAAGATGCTGCTGCCCATCTTCTGTTTTAATTTCCTTTTGTTGCCTCTTACGATACACAAGGCACGATATCATACACAATTCATATAAATCAGTCATGTAATATTAAGTAAATAAATTAAAATTTATATTGTAACGAGTATTAAGAAACAAAATAAAGCATTACCATTTAATACAACGAATTTGCTAACACTACAACCCCACAAATACGACGAACTATGGTATTACAGAAGTACGACGCCAGAGGAATCCGCGATTTACCAGCCGAGTGAGCTGATTTAATTTATTTAGGGAAATATTAAATCATATGTGGTAGAACCACGCTGCAGCTGTATTATGGTTGTAGTACGAAAGGGTCGGTTCGACCGGGGTAAGACCACGCTCTCATAGAATACCAGCGTAAAATAGTAGTGTTTCTTTTGATGAGTGTAGAGAATCCGAAGATAATTTTTACAGGAACCTTTCTATCTTAGTACTCAGAGCTCACAATGTATCTACCTTTTGTTTCTTAATCGAGGATAATGTTGATTGATGTCTAAAGGTAACAGAGTCCATTTACCTTCAGGTGGACTGTGTGCTCTTTTGTCACCTTTATTGTATAAAAAAGTAGGGTACAATTATTTACGGTAGGAATTAAGCAGTGACATCCTCTTGCAGACCGGAAACAAATTGCGCAACCTTCATGCGGAGCCGCGCCGGAAGATGGCAGAAACGAAATAATAAATGTGTTTATTAGCATGATAAGTCAAAAGTAAAATAATATAATTTGCAGCACCATTACCTCTGCCTCTCCAGACAAAATAATTTACAAGACAAAAGGACAACGGCTCGTATTCTTGTAACAATGTTTTGTTATATTTCAAGTATTTATTTTTAATTTTACGCCTAAATTTTATGCTGAGGATGCAGACGTGCATACGGCTTAAATGGTGGTTAGTGATCACCGTCGCCCATGAACATCTGCAACTCTAGGGAAAAATGGATCTCATAGTAGCTTTATTAGATTTTAAGGTCTAAATATATGAATATAAATATATACAGGTCTAAACTCTAAATATAACATGGTTGTAATATCGCAATAATAATATAATATTTAGTCGTGGTTTTCCTCTGGTCAATCGAAACTCATTTTGGAAAAGTAGTAAGTACATTTAAAAATGACGTATTACAAGCGAATTTTTATTTTTTTATATGAGGGAATTAGTTTTTTTTTTCATTCAATTAAGTATATATTAGTAATTCATTTCCATTCACTCTGTAATAACCGGATCGGACAAAATAACCGACTAGCTATGACCAAGACTCAACAGTTCATCTGTTCGGTCTAAAAACATTCGGCTCCCTGTTATGCGGTCTTTCTGTGCAAGAAAAATCGCGTAAAGAAATATCAGCAGCAGAACTAGAGTTTTTCATATATGTACTTAGCCTTTTTATTATTGATTTAAGAACTGACAATCGAATGGGTAGAATCGGACAAATGTCAGGAAGCCTCGAACTGGCAAATACAGTGTAGAGTATTGTAGAGCAACCGCTACTTGATGGAGTGACGGACTGCCGTAGAAGTTTTTTTATGATGCTGTTTCGTAGCGTGTTTTACCTGCTACGTTTTTTGCATTCAACGCCGTAGGTCTGTATATTTAAAATGAAGTTAAATACTATTTAACACGTTTTTTGGCAAGGAATACTGCTATTAATACTAAAATTACTCTTAAAATATATTAAGATTGTTTTAATGACAACTTTTCTCTAAATAATAAACCTACACTCGGTGCACTTAGTTTGTTGTTTGTCGTGAAGTGGTGGTTAAGCTAATCCATTACTCAATTACATCTTGTAGCTATCGTAACAAGAAAATATAGGAAATATAAAAAAAATCTTATTGTTTTCGACAGATAATGGAAACCATATAAACTTTTCGTTAACGCCAGACGTAAAATATCCAGACTGCTGACGGGCAGTGGTGTTAAAGGTACTTAGTCTTTTAAACTTATCGAATCACTGTAAAAAATGAAATAAAAGCGCAAAAACATAATCATTTTATAAAACTAAATATATAAAAACAATTGGCTCGATAGAAAGATATCGATGATTTTTTATTTTACAAATATACTTGTTGGTAGCATTCCTTTTCTACTTAAGAGTTTGTCAGGGTAAGTACCACCCTTTTATCTATTTCTGTCTGTGTATCCTTCTAGTGTATAAAAAAACACTAGAAGGATGATATTTAATCGCTATTTGTACGTGTAACTTGTAGAGATTTCACAATGAAA